TATCATCGGCAAATGCGAGACAGTCTACCTCAATGGTATCAAAAAGGTCGTTAATGAATATCAAAAAGAGCAGTGGTCCCAGATTTGATCCCTGCGGTACTCCTGAATCTGGAATGAATGGTAAAGACTCATAACCACCCAACGCTACCAACTCAGAACGATTCGCGACATATGATGACAGCCAGTGCAATAAACTTCCATGGATACCCATGTGAAATACCTTAGCTAAAAGTATCGAGTGGCTAACGCGGTCAAAGGCCTTTGCAAAGTCTGTATATATGGTGTCTACTTGTGCGCCGTCATTAAACGATTCGCACAAAAAAGTAGTATAGCTCAGTAAATTCGGTTCGGTTGATCTGCCTTCAATAAAACCATGCTGTTTATGACTAAGGATAGGCTTAATGTGGTTATATAATGATTGATAAATAATAGATTCAAAAATTTTTGCGAACCAATTTAATATACTAATAGGACGATAATTCGTTACATCTCTTTTATCTCCCGATTTGTAAATTGGTGTAATTTTAGCATTTTTCCAGAAATACTCGTGTTAATGATTCGACTAATGCAGAAGCACAGAGACGAATAAATAAGGGTGGAATACCGTCGGGTCCTGCTCCCTTCGATATATCGACACTCTTCAACTTAGCCAAAACCGTATCCTTTGGAACATGAACATGACCTAAATTAAAACTGTTAGTGGAAGTCGGCAGATTGAAAGGTAATGCAGTTTTATCTTTTACATAAACTGATGAGAAGAATTCCGCAAATAGGTTAACAATTTCATTCCTCATTTCAGTCTATTAGTTGACACCAAACTATTTCATCATGATTACTCGTGGTTCGTACGGTCACATTATCTTGAGAACTAGGTATCGATACCTATATATACTCGTATTTACATATGTATGCAGACAGAGAGTTACCTAATGAAATATTATCATCTCTTGATTCCCTACTTGAAAGCTCGGTTCGGGAATATTTTCCTCTTCCATAAACTTCATTTAAATTTCTATATCTTCACAGTTGATTGGCACAAAATCTGGCAAAAGGCTTCAAATAAAAAAGGCACTGATTACACCACGAATTCAACCCTTTATATGAAATAAGTCGATATATAGGACATGTAACAACCATGCCAATGATGTACCCGTAATCACATATTCAATTACAATAAATGTCGCTTGGGTCAAAAGACCCGGTGCCATCTTTGTAGGTAAACATTATGTTTATACCATTTAAGATGACTACATGATAATAAACTCCTTACTGTACTGACGTTTGAGCTATTTCCATAAAAGTCATGTGATGATAACACTTAAGAATGTATACTTTAGAAATTATAAAACGCTTAACTTCAAAATGGTTCAAAATGTCCGTCCGTCTATCTACCGTCTATCACGGCACATTCTCCTTATTCGATTCCATTCATAAGAAAGACCAGGGCCCTAGCAATGGGATTATAAATAGGCTGGTGATGATAATGATGATAAATGTGTGATTCACCGTTTAGCGCAAAACACGTATTATCTGTCTCTTTCTCATTAACAGGCATCGTCATTTAGTCAGCTTTACGCACGCTCTTTAATTCAACAATGTAAGATATACTGTTCACAATGCAAGTTATTCAAAGAGGCTTGACCGCGCTTTACCGGCGTCTGCGCAGAGCGCATACAAATCATGCGACAAAGAGGACAGACGCGCCAAGAGCGAACCATGTGTGGCACAGAATGTTCTTAACAAAAGTCAAAATATATGGAGTGTGGCTTAGATTTTTTGTAATGTCTTCAAAATAGTCTCGTGGTATGTTCTTGAAATGGCATACAATGGTTAATTATTAAATGAGATAAAGATTTATTTATTTTATGTTTAAATGTAAATATGTGAACGAGTTAATGACTTCATTTCAAGTTTATTTAAAATTCATCAGCGAATCTATGACAGAATGGTCTTGTTTAATAGGGATGATGACTATTTTTTGGTTTTTTGTCCGTCAGGTAGAGTGTTAAAAAATATTAAACACGTATTTTTTTATTTTTTTCGTAATCATAAAATTACGGAGTTCAACTCAATGATGAAAAGAGTACGTTTATGTCCTCGTTGCTGGGGCTCAGGCTTCCTCTATGGATGAAATCGATTCAAGTCGAAAAAGGGAGAATGAGTCATTCCATGCATGACTTACGCGGGTCCAGTGCGGATTGGTGGGTGTTAATAACTGCAGATGTAACCGCGACCAACGGCTTAACGTGCCTTCCGGAGCGAGCTCTTCCATGCATGATAAATTTTTGGTCATCCATCCCATGACCGTCTCTTGCGTAAGTTATTTTACAACTGTATTTTGTTACTTGATCAGGTATTATATTACGTTTGCACGCTAAGATTTCGTAAGTACCTAATGCAGATCGGCTAAGATTTATTACATTTTTGTTTTACGGATTGCGTTAAAAAGCTTTCTTTTTTGGCTTTAGATGAAAATTGAGAGATATGAAAGACGAAGACGATATTGTGCCTAGTAAAATTGAGGCACACAGAGAAAGGGAAAGATCTTTGAAATGTCCATTTGAGCATCCAATACTCTAATAATTTACAGTGCTATTAATTAACAAGGTTTTGCGTCAGAGTAAATTTATGCTAAAATTGCAATTTAGGAATTCATCGAAATTCATATTTTACAGAGAATAAGCTAACCTACTACTACTACTACTTTTTAGGAGTAAATATTACTCCCGTAGTACTTTGTACTAGTGTAACCTTTGCTAAGTCTCCGTTTAATAATATGAATTTTGACTAATACTAAGTGCAGTCTCAACGTAAATTTACTCCAACGCTAAATCTTGTTTAATAAAAACACTGTTACAGTATTTGATTTAGACTTAAGCTGGCGATTTTAAGGCCTAGTAAGTCGTTGATTTATTACGTTACGTGTGTTGTGTATACGTGCTTATTCGCTTTTATTATAACTGTTATTTTGCTGTTAAAAATACAGCATCGAACACAGCGCTGCCGCATTATTAGAAGTTAAATCTTTATTACAATGTAAGTCTGTTTTATATGGTTGGCCATATTAGAAGTTAAATCTTTATTACAATGTAAGTCTGTTTTACATGGTTGGCCATTGAACCTAAACGCTGCGTTAGTCGCTATATGCTTTTAAGTATAGCACTGCTGTAGTTTATGCTTAATATGAAAAGTATGGTTTCGTTGAACATGAATTGGGTTTCTAGCCGAATATTTGATATTTTTTTATCTCGATTTGATGGCGGTGAGCTGATTCCCTAATTCAACGATCAGTGCTTATTTGCGTTTAATGCTGGTTACGTTAGTCGTGTCATCGCAATGCCAAACAATATAAAATGTGAATTTCAATGTAAATTTGAATCGCATAAAAATCTCGACTTGTTATCTTAATTCGGACTCCCAAGTTTTGCGACGTATTACCTACGTTTGTACTACGCACGATTAATTTGATCTTATATTAGTTTTACTTAAATACAATAGTTAATTAGAAAATCACTTAATCCTCACTTATGTTACTACATAAATTATTATTTAAATTTTAAACACAATAACCACCTCATTATTCTTCTTATATTAGAAAATCATTATCTTCATTATACCAAAATGTTGATTTCAATACCTACCTATCTGTAATTTAATTTGTAAGTTCCAAATTCTCTAACCACACAAAGTTCCCGCTCTTCCGTAATTACGGTACGCGCCAGTCCTTTTGTGAGTCACGTCACGAGACTATAAAAAAATGTTAAAAAAACATTTTAAGTAAAGGAATGCGCGTTCCCTCACGCTCCCTTCATCTAAAACACTGGCGCTTTTTAAAGATAATCAAAATGCTTCAATAAGCTCGTTCTGGTAATCAGATTTTTTTTTCATAGAACGAAATAGTCTTATAATCTAAGTTCAGTAAGTGTTTTGTGTCTGGATTTTTTTTCCATAATTTTGTCACTGATTGACTACTTCTAGTAGACCCATGGACTCCAAATTTTGAACACAGTTATTATTTAGCATAATAAGTAAGGAAAAAATCTAACATTATGAAATATTAATGTAAACATTATGGAAACGCATAGGTAAATTACTGTAAAATAAACTTACTAAAACAAAATCTATCTAATGTTAATTGATTTAAAAGTAGGTATCTATATTATGATGTTGTGTGCGTTTGTTAATTATAAATAAATCTATGACAAGAATGGATGGATAGCTGCTCCCACAGAAAGATAGGTTCTGATTTAATCGACTTGGCTTACAATGATATCATAATTTTTTACGGCAGAAGAATTGCGTTGTGTATTATAAATATTTTTGTTCATGTAATGTTGTGCATTTTTGTACATCTAATGTTTTTGATGGGATATACTTAATCAAAGTTTTAAAAATTCATGAAAATTAACATCAGATTCTCTCATGTTACTTGTAAGTATATGCTCCTTCAGCTTTTCATACGTTTTCTTACTGGTATTATACAGATAGGTTATTTGACTAGTATTCTAGTAATTGATTAAAAAAGGTCTAAGTAGCAATGCTTCAGTAGGTATTAATAAATATCATTGATAAAGACGATCCAATTGTACATAACCTAAAAATGATTTTTACCTTATCTTATCAGCACTCAATCTTACGCCAATTTGTGTTTAATTGTCGCACCTAAAATTACTATCTGCGCTACTTTCTTGTTTACACGAAACTAACAAGCCGGTATTTAAGAATAAAGGCAGAAATACGGAAACGTTGATAGCATTCGGTCATGTCCGAGGAAAAAGTTTGGAAAACAGGGGAAACATGAACTGATTCAATTTAAGGTGTAGTTGAAAATGGTGAAAAAAACTGTATTTAGATATTTTCAAATATAATAACGCGCTAAGCTGTGAATAAATATGAACCGAAGACACCTTGTCTTGTGATCTTATGAGGAAATGAGTGATATGTGACCGACTTCTTACAAGACATCAAAAAAGTGTAAATAAATCTTTTGAATTTTCACTATGCCTTCCGCGTTGGACTTGGATCCGTTCAGTCAGCCAGAGTGGAGTGATTCCAGCGATTCAGTAGAGCCTGCTCCTCTGCCTCAGTTGGGATACTTTGTGCCTGTTAGATGCAGATGCGAGAGAGCGTCGCACCATGTGTGTCGGAGAAGTAAAAGGTAGGTAATGATAACCTATGAAAAAATCCAACGTCTGCTTATAAAACAGGTTCTGTGACCATTAAATTGGGATTGAAATTGGCATAGAGGGTATTGGCAATTGAGATAGCTAAATCATCGGATGATATCTATTAACCTTTATATTATTTGTCGTTTATAGAGGCCTTAGTGAAAAGTACTTTATGATAATTTCAACCGTCCATCTATGTCGGTTCTAAACAGCCCATGACAGACAGACAAACAGAAGAATTACATGAATATGGTGCTAGTTACTACCTTCTAGATACGAAATAAATTGGGATAGTGGAAAGTGATTTATCATCTGTTCTAATTACACAGATTCGGTGTTCGATGAAAAAATATGCCGAAAAAAAAGTGATAGTTTTCTCCTTTAATTATTATCTTAAATTATTTCACTGTCAAAAGCTTATGATTTTGCGATTGACTTATAGATTTGGTTTGGTTACTTCAAAGGATGTTAACATTACTATAAGAAATAATTTAGAAAGTTATTTCATCTGTAATGAAAATTGATCAAATAAAATAACTAATATTAGTATTCCATTTGAGGTTTTTTATTCCATATTTAGCTTTCCCTCTGATCTTTCTACTTTGTTCTTTCTACTTTCTATGATTGAACTGTAGTTCATTTCTTTGCAGAGAATCTCCCCGGTCGCGTCGCTCCATATCGCAATGTTCCTGCAACAGCATGTCTCGTCGGTCGTCGGTTGCAGCGTCACCGATGCCGTTGCCTCCACTCAACAACACCGTCGAAATGTACGTCGAGCCGGTAGTCGAAGATGTGAGTACATTATCATAAGCACAATTACTTCATATCCCATCAGACAAATGAGCAACAACTCTGTTTCGGGTAACGTTAAAATTTGGAGATTTAGCTATTTATTTTTTGATAAACTATTTATTGGTTCTATGGAGAGATCTTTATTAGGCTCACATTACCACATGATCCCATGGTTTTGTTCCCACTGGACGCGTACAGAACTTAAGACTTAAGTATCCCAGATTTGTGCAATTGGCATTTTATTGGAAGTATACAGAGTCCTAGGCATAGCAAGTACTCGGCTTGGGTACTCGGATTAATTCTCGGTTCAGATACATAAGAAAATAGATTTAAATAGTTGCGTTAAAGCATTTGTTTGTATATATTCTTTGATTATAGGTTTAAGCTATACTCTTCATTTGAGCCATATAAGTAGCAAAAAATTTGCTTTACTACTGAATCATATAAAATTGATTTCTAGATAGACGCTTTGAAATTTTCCAAAGTATTTTTTATTGATTAAAACAAAGAAATAAATCGTCAGAAAATTTATTTTAACCCTTTGATATGTTTATTTTAATTTCGAATGGAAAATTGTCGATGCTGCTATTTATACCATTTCTCACAAGTTAATTTTGTCAGTCCTGCAAACAAATGATACATAAAATTATATTTTTCCATAAACTTATTTGTGAAAATTAGATCTATAATAGACAACAATTATGGCGAACATTATTATGGAACCTCCGTTTAGATATTCCGTATATCATACATCGAATTTCTCAACATTGTATTTGTTTAAAACTCTTCTCATGGATTTGGCTATTTGTTCCGGTCGGCTGTAGAAGAATTTGTGCTGACTACTCCCTTCTTCGTTGTAAATGTCGTGATCAACTAATCCTTGAGGGTTCACGAAGAGTATTCTGAAACATTAGAATAACAATTATTTCATGATTGTTGAAATTTTAATAACCAACTCAAAGGTGTTACAGTTTCATAGGAATTTTAACTAATTACATTTTGATTTTAATATTTGTAGTTGTTCTTAATAACAAATATTTATTGTTTGTAATCTACTATCTTGTAATATTTACCACGTTGTTGCCTTTTACTATTTACGTGGATATTTTTTTTTTTTAGATTTAAAAACTTTGATTAAATCGTTTTGCTCTGTTTATATTGGAAACGCTTAGCAATTTTAACACAAAAGAGGTTAGACTCTTTTGTCCAAAGTATTGTGTTTCTAATTGCTTTTTTCGCAAAAAATGATCTAAATGCGTCATTTGATTTGAATCTAAGGAAATCTAGCAGTTATCAAACCTTGGTATATAAGTTCCATCTGGTGCGAAAGTGTTATTTTTTGGCTCTTCTTCATCTACTAAATTGACCATGACGAAATGTTTGCTGAGTGTTTGAATTTCTTTTGAAGAAGCAAATTTCGGCTTTAGCTTTTTGCAGGCTGAACACCACGATTTGTGAATGATTACCATTAGGGGTTTGTTATGGTTTGTCGCTATTTGCAGACCTGACTCAAGCGACCCTGCCCAGACGTAGTCATTACCAAATCCATTGTCTCTTCCCAAAGAACTGCAGTAAGCCGTTGGGAAAACAAATCCCAACAGCGCTTTCGCTATATGTGTTACCATGTTCAGGGCGTGAGTTCAAGTATGCTAGAGCGATATTAATTGAAATTATTTACATTTTATTGATTTGATTGTTCGATGGTAAGCCATTTTGACACTAATGTTTGAATTTTATACCTCTTGTCTGCCAAACTTCTGTTATTGTCTTTGGTCCGACTACTAAATTTTTATGGTATACACCGCCATCTGTTGCCAGCTCTTGTGATTACATACAGTAACTTTACGTTGGGAATCTCTTATGCCGCGTGAAACAGTGCCGCTGTTGGCGTCACTAAAACAAGCTGTGTTAAGATCAACATAGAGGGCACCTCTTACCCAACCAAAGAGGTTTCTCCAAGAAGTTTATACTATTATATATTCTCAGTTTCTCAATTCTCATTAGACCCGACAAAATCACTACATGGTATAAAACAAAGTTATTTTCTCTGTCCCTATGTATGCTTAAATCTTTAAAACTATGCGACGGATTTTGATGCGGTTTTTTTCATAGGTGATTCAAAACGAAGGTTTTTATGTATAATACATGACCACGTGGGCGAAGCCGCGGGCGGAAAGCTAGTAAAGGATAAAATTGGTTAAACTAATCTAATAATAATATTATTTCATTTGTTTTTTTTTCTCATTTATGCTCGATAGTGTAAGAATTGTGATCATAATAAGTAGTAGAAGTGCTTTCCACCAATAATAATAAAACAATTTAGTGAAAAAAAAATGTGCTTTTTAATAAGCGTTGTTTTCATATCACATAAATATTTAATTTATTTGTATTTAATGGACCTAATAATTTAAATGTAGTAGATATTTCTTTTTTAAAGTAATACCTATACATAAATCAAAATAAGCAAAGCACTTAATAAGAGCACATAAATTGACCATTTCTTTTGTCCTTCGAATTCAGATCAGATATTGATAAAGTATAAAATAAACATTTATTGACAAACTTTTTAAAATCAGCAGCGCGTATCGACGCGTGCCACGCGCGATCGTTTTTATGCCATTTTCAAACATAACTATGTCGATACATCGTCGCGCTTGATGTAACCAATTGGAAAAAGCAGATAAACTATGATAATTAATGTAATTTGAACGCATCTCTCGCCAGAGCACTGTACTGCTGAAACACGCATTCCTCACAAAATCAACCAACTACGCTGCCACCCGCACGTCCATTGACGGGGGTGCTAAGATTAACATTATTAACATCCAAAATGTTAACCGTTAGACACCTTAAAACTAAAACACCAAAAGCAGTGGCTTATTTTTTTTATTAGAAAATAAGTTTCACTTACAACCTGCGTTTTAAATAAACCGCGCGTTCCTCCATTTTTGTTTTCTCATTACAAAAATTTAGCGCGAAATTTATTACATTTATTTTTCTAAAAAAGTGATTGTGTATCAACCAGTGTTGCTATGATCAATATGTACGCGAGTCACGGACGTAGGAACCCATATGGAACTGTGAGGTCCTTGGTGCCACGGGCTACTCCTGTACCGCCGGGGATGGAGGATGTTATGTTTACGCCGCCATACTTTTACCACATTCCTCCACCTCCTCAGCCTTTGAACACTTATCCTGGAAGAAAAAGGCGCAAGAAGGTAAGTCACGTTGAAGAAGATTATATTCCGAGGCAATTTGACATCGATATTATCCTTATAAGGAACCGAAGCTTCGTCTGTCTTTTTGTTCTGATAATCGATAGGAATTTTATCTTTCCTTGTGCCAACATTCACTATAATTTTTCAGCCCTTTCATCGCAGTGTCATTGAGAATCGGTCAAAATCGGAAAATTCCCCTCCCTGTTGCAATTAAACGATTCTGCAAATACCAAGATTGCGGGCTTGGAAAACCTATTCCTTCTTAAAAATAAAAAAACAAAAACTTATTTTTGTAGGAAATTCTAAGCAAGAAAAGTAATCATGATTATAGGCATTTTAGTTGTATGCCATACAAACGGTGTTTTTGGTCGCGTGAAAATTTTCGTTATAATGGTGTTGTGATGTAACATTTGATTGATAATAAAAATGTTTTTCTTAAGGAACGTAGAATTTTGTAGAAAGTTGGGATACTTAATGAATTATGATTTGAACTTGCACAAGAAAAACATTTGATATGATGTGTATAAAAGCAAGCAGACAATTTTGTTCATATGCAATAAACAATTAAAAAAAAATACTTTATTTACTAAAATAAAATTATTGAATAGCAACAAACTTATAAACTCATATTTCATTTGTTTGCAATCAGAAACTTTGAGGTGTTAATTTAATTTGAAATATATACCTATTGTGATTATTTATCTGACACCGTACTTAATGAGATTTTATCAGAAAACGCCCCTTTTCATGAATCATCTGTAAATTATAAAAAGCAGACCTGTCTAATGATAAAATTAGCAATTTTAAATTTAGGTATTGCTTTATGTTTATTGGATTAATAGACCTTACTAAAAATTCTATGACGCAATGTATATATTAGGAATAAAGACTGATTTTACATTTGAAATATATCTAAAGACTTACAGATATTTATTCGTCAAATCTTTGACTGTTGTGGATATTAGCCAGGTCACCTCTTTTAGATCTGTATCTGTCAATGAATTGTGACATCACTACGTAGGAAATGTAAAAAGATGTGGAAAAAACTGCAGCGTCAATAAATAGTTTTTTGCCTTTCATAATATTTTTGGAAATTTTTAATTCAATATTTTCATTGTGTTTTGAAATAACGTTCACTTTAAGAAGAATAACAGAGTTTTAAAGAATTTACTCTTTAGTATAGATCGTTTTTCTCTATGGTAGTTTAAAATCTTTTTGGTGCCTTAATGAGCATAAATCTATGATATCCGGTGTCGCCAAGAAACTTTTCCCAGTATGATTTTGTGCGAAAAGCTACTTTACTCTTTTACATAAAGCAAAACGGCCAAGCCATAAGTTGACCAAGGAAGGGGTAGAGTTTGTGAAGTTTTAGTAAGTGTAACTATACTTAGCAGATCTTATCTGAAAACTTTTTAATAGACCTGCCGTCTTGGCAACATTTTACATGAAAATGTTTTGGTTGGATATAATATTAGCTGCCATCCTACTGTTACCGGTCTGCTACCTCACTTGATTCTTCTTTGATGACATCACCAGCAGCGTGGTCAATTAATCCATACCATCCATACTAATATTGTATATGTGAAAGTAACTATATGTGTCATTATATTATCGCGACTAAATTAATTTTAGTGAAATTAAATATACAGATAGAGCGGACGTCGAGAAAAGGACATAGGATAAGTTTTATTATGAAAATGAGGCTTAAAGGATTTCAACGCAGGCGAAGTCGTGGGCGGAAAGCTATTAGAGTATAAAATAAAGGCACCGAGCTTCACCCTCAATTTTCTCAGTAAACAATATAATAAATAATGAGAAAATTTTAGTTTGTTTGCATCGAAAAGGCTACCAAATTACTAAAACGATTCTAAAAATACTTTTACCTGGAAGCTATGTACATACATCAATGACTCATCAATCATCATATAGGGAATAGTATATGTAGGCTAGTTAAATTATAACCTAATATTATAATAGAATAAATCTTGCTATAAAATTAATTCAAGGGTATTTTGGCATTCTGTTAGTTAATAATATTTATTTATCCATGATCATTGTACGTCCATGATAAAAACTTAACCATTGAAAACTCTATACTTATTTTAAACCAGGGTTTACCGCGTCATACATACAGACGTTTGCTGTAAGTAGCTACGTTGTATGTAAGGTAACTTTTTACCTTACTAGATCTATCCACCATATTATTTATGCATGCACTCAACTCAACTTACAGAGATTTAAGAAAAGGGAATTAAACGAATTAATTGGTTATAGAGAAAAGTAATCAAATATAAAATAGTATCCTAAATATGGGTACTGAAATTCTATCCAAATTATGCTTTATAGAAAAAATATTAAACATTGAAATTAGTCAAGCGAATTCGCAAGCGGATGATGGATTGCTAGACTTATTGAAAATTTTCAATAAGTCGGTTAGTGTATGTCGGTTACTATATTTCAAGGTTTTGTGGATTTGATCACGTCACTGATGATGTCAACAATCAACATCATCTGGTCCCATACTCTTATTAAAATGTATATCACTTTTAAGTTTGATCAATTCAAACTTAAAGAGACGAACGATAGGATCTTTTACATCTCGCAAATGAATAATAGGTTATATTAGAATTTTAACGATTTGGCTCGTATTGTGATGCTATGGTTTATATGTTTTCATACAAAGAATTCATTCTTTTCTTTCACCTCCTTTTGCCATTACGATTGATTTGCGTTTACCTTGTCAAGAAATATGCACTAAATCCTTCGAGGTCAGCTCGACTTATTCCGCAATTTTTTGTTGTAAATTCGTAATTTAATGTTTAAAAATTAATGTATTTTTTTTAAGTCTTATGGAGTCTTAATTTGGAAACCTTAGAACAATTTATTTCCAAAATTTTTAAAATTATGAGCTTTTTAACTTGAAGTTGACAATTCGTCCTTATTTTTTTATTATAAATTAGAGATCTCTTATGAGTATCCAACATTTAAAGACACAATCCTTTTATTGTACAACTAGCTATGCTGGTATCAGTTTTACATCGAAAAAAACAATTTGAAATCCGTAGATTGTGTGTTCTGTTTGTACCTTATTGATGGTGAATGCATTGCATGATTTTATATAATTAATATTACATACAAACCAATATCTTAGAATTTCTGTTTCGAATCATCTTTTAGAAATAAAAAGACGAAACATACACAGCATTTTAAATATTTAAACATTAGCAAGACTATATAACTATATATGTACAAAATTACTTTTAACAATAGTTACGTTAAAACATAAGTTTTGTTCCAAAACATTATCCAAATAGAAAGTAGGCGCTTAATAAGGAAGTTTAGATAAAGGAGTCACTGTTGAGTGTTATTCCTTAACATGTTCAACGTGTGTCTACTTGTTATATCTGTTCCACCACGATTCCTGTTATCATCTGACTTCTGAACAGTCCTCTTTTGTTCCTGTATAGGTCTCAAAGTATTTTGAAATGTGCCCGGTTTGAAGAGTCCATACGAGTAAGCTAAACATGACGTCATTGATATTACCATTAAAACGAATTTGAACTGTTCCTTTGCGTCCATTTCACATGGGGCCACTTAATTTTAAATCCATAACAGATTTATTGTCATGTGATAATAACTCTTAGATCCCAACAATTTTTTGTTTTAACGACAACTTTACTGTTTGAATTATTTGGTTTGATGTGTGATGCGTCATAGACAAGTTGACAGAAGTGTTCATTATTTATTTATTCTCTCTTCAAGTCTCTTGTCGTTGGCGTTTCTTGTATCGCCTTTAAAAAGGATTGTGTTCGGCTTCCATTCAAATACTCGGTTATAAACATTTGGTAATTGATGTGTTGCGTTGAAATGGTATGTGTATACAACAGTAATATAATAATATACAAAAGTTGACTGGGAGAGAATGCTATTAGCATTAAGTCCGCCTTTTGTACCATCTTTTATTGGTCATTAGAGTTCAATAAATAAAAAAAACTACAAACGATTAAATTATTTGCTGCGTACTAAATAATTATGTGTACATTAATAATTAATTTTGATAAACATAACCTACTAGAAATGTGTGGTTTTATTTCTTATCGCTTAGATCATGGATAAAGTTCCCATTGTATAATATTTTGGGCTGTTTCCTGTCTGTTTATTTTTCAATTAATGCTCGCCAACTCCATGGGATTTTTTCCCATTATCCCGCTTTTAATATTTTGCTTTGTACCTGTTAAAATAAATAGATATCTGCTTTTTCATATTTCAAACTTCTTTTTAAATAACTCTTCTCAAATAATGTTTAAGTACTACATCTAATTTGGAAAATCTACTTAAAAATGTTTGGGTTAAAATAACTTTCACAGTTTAAGAGTGAACAATTTTATTAGATTTTATTTCAATTATCTGTATCTCTACAAGGTTTATATGGTTTTGGTTTCTCTTCCATGCAAGGTTGCTTAGGGGGCTTGCAGGATGGTTTGTTACTTTTTTCAGGGCCACAAGTACCATCTGATCTGATTACACTTTGAATCTTTTTCTTTTCGGCAAATACTCCATAAGTAAATGCAATTCCAATAACGCTGCTTAATATGAGACCAAATAATTGGTATTGATCTCTTTGTGGCATTTGATCTTTACGAGAATTTAGTAACTGGAGAAAGCGTTTTCTGCTTGTCAAATGCCAGAGCCGTGTTGGTTTAAGTCCTCTATACATTTTTATAATGTCACTGTAATATAGTTAGGAAATTGTGGTAATGGCGTCGGACATATAGGATTAATTTAATGAATCTCTCTTGGATTTCATGTTTTGTATATTTTTAAGCTGAAAGAGGAGACGAATTCTTAGATGAAGATGGAAAATTATCAATAAATATCTAGCTAAGTAATCAAGTAGTTTGTTTGATGGTGTAGTGGTTTGCTGAATGCCAGTTGGAAATCGAGGAAATAAAGCAACTTTCGCAGTCTTCCGTTAATAGAAAGATAGTTTAAGCCATTGGTTCATTTATACTATAAATGAACCAATGGCTTTAACTGTCTTTCTATTATAAATTTTATAGTAATGTAAACTTTTAAACTTTCGCGTTGCATTATATTAGATTGTATAAGACGTATTCTCCTAAGGGTCTGTGCCCCAAAATTAATAGATCGATGATGAAGAAGTCAAATTACAGCAAAATTCTTACATCGAATCTTGAGGCCATTTCTTATGGATTTCTTTTTCTCCTGCTAGATTTTTCTAAGACAGTGCCTATGAATGATATGCATGCCGATATTGTAATTATGAAAACTAATTCCTGTTTATTCATATCATTTTACTTTTGTCTATTTCCATAGTTATTTATGGTAAGCTCTTGGTATTATTTTGATTGCTCCATTTTATTTATTTTGATCGTGCTGTGTTGATGCTGTGAAATTTTGATTGAAATGTGTCAATTTTCTAAAAGACAATACTTTTTTTTTTCGGTTCTTGTTATTAAATTAAAAGAGAATTTATGCTTTTCAAAGTTTTTTTTATAGAGCAATGTTTAATATTTTTCTATTTTACTTGTATCTGAGGCAATGATACTATCAAGTAAGAAATTTAACATGTAATTAAGACAGTAATAATAAATAATATTTTGTTATCTATGTAAACTATAACACAGTTATTTAAAATGTATTATCCACATTACATTTATAACCAATTAGAAAATAGTTCAACTGAAAATGGATAAAAACCAAAAATGTAATTCACAACCTGAGTTATGAAAATTCAATAATAATTTCTTACAAAAAGAAGAATTCCCACCTGTTCATCCGACTTCACCAGTGTTTGACATTACGTTTATAGAATTAACATTAAAAAAATGGCAATTATATAGCACCCAGTTCAGGTAACAAACATTCTCTGGCAGTTATATGTGTGTATTTATTAGTAGGAGACATTTATTGATTGTTACACGAGCATACGTGTGTGCGTGCGCCCCTACGGGAGTGTCCCGTGGAGGTTAACTCTCGCGGCCTTCACCAGAGATGCATTGGGACCGGTTTGATTTATCGTTACAATCGATCAATTCTATGATTGTATGTATGTGCATGGTGACGATGAAAAGTTTTAATATGTAATTTAATAATAACTAACTACTCATAGAACAGATATAAATTACCGTTTATAAATCAGTAATATATTAATAGTACCACACCATTTATATAATATCATAAATATAGCAATAAACAACAAATGACCAGTGACCATTCGTAAACCACGTATTACGTATGTCTCATAACTAAAACTTTCAAGCTCCGAGGCTGAGTCCGCGCCGCGCGCCGTCCGTGCCTTCTTGTAGTGGGAGCAAAACCTGTAGATACTGTTCGCCCACTTCGAGACGGAATACCTGCGCTTACGCTGTCCCTTTCACTCCCACACCGGCGCCCGCGCGACCGAAAACCTCCGTTTCATCGCACCACTCTGGTATGCAAAGATTGATAGCTTTTAAGACCATTTGGTTTTGAAAGCGCCAAGAAATCACGCACGGTTAACTTTTCGCTGGCTGGCGTCCTTAGGAACAGCCAGAGCCGTTGCGCTGCACAAAATCGACGTATTTGTATAAATATTGAAGCAACCTTTTATGGTTCATCTCGTAATGTCATTAATGTTTATCGATTTTCAGTGCAACTCGTTCGGTTCAAGCTAGTGAAGCCTTACTAAAAGATCTGTGTATCCGTGTAGTGTTTTTCCAGTGACTAGAAACTAAGTGTTATTGATATGGTTTGAAGTTTCTACTGTTTAGAAGTGTAATGTGCAGTGGTTGACTTTAGTGCTGTTTTATGGATGATGAGCTTAGAGAAATGGATCCAATGGCATCTGACAACGGATTAATGGTGAATAATCTAAACCATGTCCGGAGTGAGTCTCAGGTAAGCGTTCTCCACCGTAGGTATTGATGGGGCAAAACACGTTTGCCTGCATACCTACCTATGAGTAGGTGCAATGACTTTACGTTTCATTTGATATATTTCAAGGTATAATGTGACTTAGTATTTATAACACATAAATACCCTTGCATATTTGCCGCTTATGTTCATCAGATCAGCTTTTGGTTTGTCACCTTTCAATGTCATTCGATTAATCATGCTATTGTGATTCACCATGAAAATCTTTACCAATAAATTTATTTGTCGACTGAGGTTCTCATCTGAAAAATCATAGTATTGGTAATTATAACGTTAATTTCCAATGATAATATTGTAATAGCGAAATATATTTGCGTACTATCCAACTCAAATGGATTTATTTGTTTGCTAGTAAATTACAGAAATCTACTTAAATGCATCGACAGAACGAAGATAGACCAGTTTCATTTTTTGTTATGTTTGGAATTGTTTCCTTTTTGTTCTATAATATAATATGTTCTTATTTATTAGAATATGTCATAATATCAGTTTGTACTATAAAAAAAACGTATTAAAACCTTTTGTTAGTACCTGGTCTTGAAGTGCAATACAACAAATCGCCGATATCCTTAAAAGTTTGACAAAAGTCTTATTTTTTGCTTACCTACAAAAATACTTTGATTAGTGGATAGACGGCATGGTATGACGTCACAGATCCTGACTAAACTGGTTTCGCGCCAATTCGCAGCTGTCGACGCCAAAGTGGTCGGCCAATTTATCTTTTTTTTTCGTCCCTAAGGCTCTGACATTCAGCCTCCAAGATACAGTTATGTTATCTAATTATGGACTCCTGCTTACCTTCTTTGTTCAGGTTGAAGGACAGACAGTGAACAAAAAACTCATTATTCACATACTTATTATTTATTCAGAAATACAATACACATATATTTTCTTTTCGATGTTTGGTTACGTTTTCAATTCACGCAAATAAATGTCAAATTATATAACCATGCAGATGTCAAATTGTACCTATCATTCCAAAGTATTGAAGGAAACTGCACATTGAATAATTTAGTTTATATTCTAACATAAAGATTGTTATTTGATCAATTTTGAATTCACAATGCAATAAAAAAATAATCCTAATGAAACGCTATATGAAAAATTATATAGTAGCGAAGAAGTATCAAGTGCTTGAATAATTCGACAGTCCTATTAGGTCCTGGGTAGCTCAATGGTAAGCAGTCACCTGGATTGCAAAAGGCCATGGGTTTGAGGCCCATTTCAGATTGCCAGGGACGAAATGGATATTTGCAGCATATTTCACTAAGAATATAAAGATTGTTTTGAAAATTAGCGAAGTATGGTCTCTCCATAGAATATTATCTTAATCTTTTTATCTGTGTACTCCAAAACTGCGAAGCCAACTCAATGATGTTTACATTACAGAGTTGAAATCACTTCAATTTAACACCCACATCCCGGTAACTTATGGTCCACCTTCTAAATCCTAAAGCAGGTTATGTTTAGTTTGCAAAAATGCATCGTGCATGAGTCATACCTTTGGATTCCCACGTTACTGGTCCTGCAGTTCTTTGACCAGTAATTTCCGGCGCTTCAATGTCAGTAATAATCCACGTCTATTAACTTTTAAATCACTAAGGATTAACTTGTATAAAGGAATAACGTGTATACCTACTAAACTAAATAATTAATTACTAAATGATTATTTGATATATGATCAGTTATTGAAATGTTGAAACATCACAATGTTAAATATCAAAATTGAAACTATTAAAATTAACTTATCAGGTGACAGGTACTAATGATAATATTAAAATAATAAATCAATGTGAGGCAACACACATTGCTTTGATCTCAAGATGAGTAACTGTAGTCCATGTAGAATTGTAGATATTATGGAAATATGTAACTACGAAACTACCACATAATTTTCTTCGTTATGGTGGTATACCATTACTAATGGAATTATAGTCACTGAGACCTAAACATCTATTGTGACTCAAGAATTAATAGCTATCACAACAACGCAGACATAAATTTATTTTGAGATACGACAATACGAGCTTATTCTGATTGTCGACTCAGCAGTAGAACGCGACATGGTCACGGCACGTCACTTCTATTTGAACATCTTATCACAGTGCCAATGAACTTTTATGTAATGTTTAGTATGGCAATTCAAAAATCACATAGGACAACATACGTGTTAAAATAGAAGAATTTATAGAATCGTTCAGTGTTATATTTTGTTACAGCTGATCTGGTTTTGACCCTTTTAAGATTATTACCTGGTTTTGGTCATTTTACGAGTATGTATAAAGAAAGTGAACTGTCAACGGTATTACTTTTGTCTCTGTAATACATTTCTCTGACCTCAAATTAAAAGATTTTGCACGTGTATTAGCCTTATTACCTTTAGTATTTATAGGAGTCTTACCACGTAATAGATTGGTTGGTATGTCATCTTGCCAATCATATTTTTTGACCGACGTAAATTTTTGAGAAAATATTATTTAGTATTTTGTTGTTTTATTTTATACATTACATGAAACTGATATATTTCTGTCGCTACGCAAGTACAACACAACATACGTACATAATGCGATTCTGTTGCACCACAACGCAATCCAACACAATAATGTATTTCCACCTTAATACACGAAGGGGACAAAATGTGTGAAATAACAGTATTTGAAGTGAGACAAAATAAATAGATTACTTGACCCTAGGCGTTCGAACCGGTTAAGATTTCTGTAAGGGTTTAAATTTCCATACACAGCTTTATACGATTACTTCCTTGTATTATTGTCATACTCTGTAACGTATCAAAATAAACATTTAATGATACAATCGCTGTACGAGACAGTCTTGAGCAGCTGGGACCTTATACAACAGATGAAAATTATATCACGCAAATAAGTCTGAGAAGTAGGGATGGGGCTCCTTTGATTTTATTTCTTGTAATTGTGCGCATGGCCGCACGTTTAGCTACCACAATATGTAAAATTTCCATAATCGATTTCGAACTCTACTTACAATGCATTACATTTTTAAATCAAGTGGAGAAATTTGATAGTTACGTATAACTTGAAGTGCTGTTGTCTGTACACCAGAGAGAAAACTTATCTCCATTTGTCTGACAATATTTTGAATTTTTCTCAAAATTACATAAAATAAAAATTGTGGCAGCTTTTTTGACACAGTTCTTGACAATGAATCGCAAAATAACAAAATAATCTGTCATCATTGATTCATCAACGCC